TTGCAGAAAAAAAAAAAAAAAGGATCAAGAAAACGGGTCTTTTCAGGCTGAAACAAGCACAGCAGATTTTGATTCATTATTATAGCAGTTTTTGTTTTGCTTGTGTTACATCTTGGTGACAAACTGGTTCACTGTGTTTTTTTCCAGCAGTTAGTTGAATATCCAAAATCCAAGCAGAACTTGGTAGGTTTGCTGAGAGAAGTCACCACACCCCCAAATTCTGTTCCCTTTGCTGGATGATAGAGGCACAGGAGAGTGGGAAAAAAGTCCCAGAGCAGAAAAGCCTCATCTAGAACAGATTAGCTCTGTTTATACTGCAAAGACTCTGGCTCAAGTGAGGGTTTTTTTTGCTTAGAAATATTGTTTTAGCATGAATTTATCTTCAAATGAACTTTGTGGTAAATAGAATTCAAACATGAGCTTAAATTTAAGGTCTTATTTAAGTGCTTTTCGACTTCACTTGCCAGCTGATGATCTGGCCTGGGCTTTGAGCATCTTTAGGGAGAAGAAACAGATTAACGAGATTAGAACACTTTAAATCACTTTTGTACTTCCCTGGGCTGCATGATCTTTCTAATACCTTGTCTCCATGGACCCTCTGAGGCGTGTTGGCTGGGTGCTGATAGACAGGGATGATGAAAACAGGGTTTGCCTGAGCATCCTTGCAGGTCTGGGAGCACGTCCCATGGCCCGTGGGTATGTTCAGTCTCGTGTGTCAGCGCGTGTTTCATCTCTCTGCTTTATGAAATCCAGCACTTGAGTGCTTCACTCCCCACCTCGTGGGCCCCATTTCCTTCCTGAGCTTTGCACCAGATATTTCACAGCCCGGCCAGTGCAGTGAAACGTGTGGTCAAGGAAGGTGGGAAGGGGTGAGCTGGGAACAGACTTCACCCAGAATGCTGAAACTCCAGCAGGGGCTGGGCTGGGAGCTTTTGGCAATTCCTCCTGGCACATCCACACTCACCCCCACAACTCCACAGGCAAAAGGCAAATCTCTGATATTAAGCTTTGCAGTTTTTCCTTCCCAACTCAGCAATAAGCCATCTCTGCAGCAGTGCAGGCAGGGAATCCTGGCCCATGAGCTCACCTTTCACCTGCTGACACGCAGTGCTTCCCTTTCCATGATGATGGAATGTGAAGCTCCCCTTGGAGTGCAGGGCAGGGGGATGTGGGTTGTCCCTTCCTGGGTGAAGCTCAAAGGGGAACTGAGCCACTGCCACAGACTGGAGTTTCCCAGAGCTGAAGTTCTCCGTGAACACATTTAACCTGTTCCTCAAGGGCTTTATTTGGAGGGAAGCAGCAAGAAGCACAAACTCCCCAAAATATCAAAATGCCAAGGATTTTTTTTTTTTTTTTTCCAGAGACCTTCCTCAAGGCAGGTTTCCCTGGGAGTTTAATTGCATGTCCCTCTCTTGCAGCCCCTGGCAGCTCAGGCTCTGGAAAGCCCCGTGGGAGGAAGGAAGTAGGAGAAAAGTTTGGAGTGTTGTGGATTGTGCTGCTGGTTCCTCCTGGTCAGTGCCAGAGGGTCCCCACGGAGTCCTCCCCCAGCCAGGAGCACAGAGGTGACACATGGAGAGCTGAGAGGACAGGTACGTCCATGGGGTGTGAAGAGGGGAGGGTAAAGCACCAAAACAAACCAACAGTTGTGTTTATCCCTGTCCTGTACACAAAGTGGAGCACATTCAGTGCAGGGTTGTCCCAAAATGCAGCCAGAGCAAGGGGCTGTCGAGCAGAGCTTGCACCCTGCAGGCAGCTCTTGTGCAGGGCCAGGACAAACCCAGCAGGAAATGCAAACCCCGCTCCCAGCCCCGCTTCCTGCGCTGAGAGAGTAATTATAATTAAAAATAAATCACCACTGCTTTTAGTTTGATGAAATTACCACTCGTATCAAGAGCAGCTTGGGCTGACTGTAAATCATCCTCTGCAGGACATCACTTTGGGGTTTGGAAACCCGATGGGTTAAGGAATGTGTTGTGCTGCAGCTGGGAAGGGGAAGAGCGTGGATGACACGTGGGTGAGCACAGCACCTTCTGCTGCTCTTGGGAGCCTGGGGTCCTTAGGAAATGAAATTAGTACTTCTGGAAAAAAAATTGATTAATGCAAAGTTGCTCCCAGCTACTCAGTTCATCTGCCTCGGTGGGAGGTGGGAGTCAGTTTGGACTTACTGGCCAAAGGATGGTCTCCCAAGACATGAACTTAAGTGGCAGCCATGGCTTTTGTTCTTTCTTGGTTCTTTTTAATGTGTCAAGGCTCGGCTGCTCTCCAGAACTATTAGAAGTTCAGAACTACAGCTTCTTTGGTTTCTGAAAGCAGTTTCTGAAGTTGCATCCTGCACTGCAGCTGTGGTGGCTGAGGGGAAAGGAGAGCCCTGAATTCTGAAAGCCTGGGGTTTATGGTGCTGCAGAAAGGCTGTGGAGCACCAGGCCCTTCTGGAAATGCATTTAAGACATGCACGACTCTGAGCACATAAATAGTTGCACAGAAGTCAATGGGACACAAATTTATGAATCTGCCTAAGTGCTTTGCTGGATCTGTGCCGGAGGAACCACTTACCACGGGTTTCAATAGCAGAATCAGAGCCCTGTTAATGAGCAGACCTCTGGAGCAGGGACATGAAATCCAGCTCCACGGATCTGTGCTGCTCAGCTTGATTCCATCCCTGCGGAAACTCGCCCTGCTGGGTGACATTCCTGGCCCTTGCCTCTTCCAAAGAGTGATTTGCAAGTTCCATTTTACACTGGGGAGGGCGGCGGGGCAGTGCAGGATGGAAAGCAGCATCCAGAGCTCAGTTCCAGAGGGCAGGCACTGGAGCAGCCTTTTTTTCTAGAGAAAGGCAGTTCCACATCTTCATCAGGAAATTGTGGCTTTCGCCTCCCACTTTTCCCTTTTAAATACTTTTTGGCAGCAGAGGCGGCTGACCAGGAAAGAGGAACACGAATGGCTAAGATCAGTCAATATTGTCAGGTCTCTGCACACTCCATTAGTGCTGGCAGGCACCAGAAATGCAGATTTCACTGGGCAGAAGATCATAAATCACCCTGGGAGGCAGCAGCTGGGGTGGGGATGCTGGGAAAGGAGGAGAGGGGGGCTCGTACCCCCCGTGCCAGGTCAGAGCCCTGCAGATGGACTGGCAGAGGCCAGGGCAGGGCTCCACTGCACGAGGGCACAACACAAAACTGGAACAAAGCCAGAGCCTATGCCATCAGGGTGTACAAGGAAAGCCAAAGGAGCAGCCTGGCAGTGGGACAGGGCTGGAACACCTTGGATCCTGCACTGGAGGCGGTTTTTGCAGTGGGGTTTCATTTAAGGCAGAAAGGAGCAGCTGCCCTTGGGAGACTGTGGCACACACAGCGAGTGTGAGGCAGAACCTGCATTTGTTGAGTGCCCCTTTGAGCCATTCAGCAGGTCTGGGTACATTTGATGGGTCTGTGTCGGAACTCTCGCACTCAGAAAGAGGGAAGTGTTGTTACAAATAACTTTATTTTGCCCTCCCGTTTGTTTTCTCCGGTGTGCCCGTGAGGTGTTGTCTGGAAAGAAGGCACCAAAAGGGAATCAGAGCTGCCCCAGTGCTGGGAGCATGGCAGCCCCTCGGTTCCCAGAGCCCAGGGGAGGGGGGCCCATCCAGCTGCTCCGAGGGGTCCCCAGCTGAAGCAGCAGCAGCAGGAACGCTGAGCAGAGACGTGGGATCCACTGAATCAGTGTTAGCTGAGGAATGCCAAGAAAGAGAGTGCCTGGAAGGTTTAATTTATGGAGATTAGCATGTCAGATGTTCTAGTGGTGGGCTTGGCAGTGCCGGGGTAACGGTTGGACTCAATGGGGTTTTTTTTCCAACCTAAAAGATTCCGTGGTCCTGTAAATCGGGAGGGAACTTTGGGGTTGTTTCTAGGAGTAAATCCCAAAGCTTCTGCAGAATTCCCAGAGAGTTTGTAGGTTAAAGGACCTTCAGTCCTTCCCATTCTCACAGCATCCTCTGCTGTGGTTCACACAGAGCTGTGTTAACATGAGTCTGGAATATCTCAGCACATAATTATTTATCCTTCAATAAAACAAAGAAAACCATGTCTGAATCTGACTAATATCCCCTCCTCAGCCTGCCAAGTGGGGCCTTGTGTTTTCAGCACTGAAAAGCAAGCCTGACTCGCTGCATATTTTGTGTTACCATGGTTTATGTCCAACTGCAAGGATTTAATTTTGTCCGTCATCAAGCCGTGGTTTCCATATGACACCAGTGCATTCCTTCCCTCCGCCTGCTGTTCTGACAGACGACAGAATCGAATTAAACATTCCCACTGCCACGCTGAAAACGCAGGAGCTTATGTTCCCCTGGCTTGGGAGATCAGGGGGCAGATCCCTCACAGGTATAAATTGTCCCCAGCACGGCTGTGAAAATTCACACCAGTCACCCCGGCTGAGGAGCAGCCTGGGACGTCTTTATTTCCCAGTCCAATAAGATGGATAAAGCAGGACTGACAAATAAGACAGAGTCTCCCTTTTGAGTGTGCCTGGCTGTTCTGAGTGATGATTATTGTGTTTCCTCCTGGAGCAGTCGCTGACCAGCCCGGCTCATGCCTCTGTGAGCCAGGGAAGAGAAACCCCTCCACATATTTCTCCCCTAACTGCAGCCTGCCCTGCCTCCCAGCCAATTGCAATTTCATGGCATCAACATTTTAAAAAAGCCAATCCCCAGGCTCTGCCTTGCTGAGACTGGGAGTAGATAAATGACCAGTTCCTTCTCAAAACACCGGCTGGGGTTTCAAAGGGGCCTGAGGGGATTACACACACATCTCACTTTGAAATTTAAGCTCTGGATCTTGAAAGAATAAGGTTTATTCCACAACTTCACACCCTGAAGGGACAGCTCGTTGCCTGGGATTGCTGTGATGTCATCCCGTCAGGGAACTTTTCCAGATGAAGTCAGTGCACGGTCCTGGGCCACCTTCTGACCTCCATCTCCAGCAGGACAGCAGTGCTGTGACCCGGGCTGGGGGGTTCTCAAATGCTCTGAGTAACAGCAGCTCCCTGCTCAGTCCATACCTTGGGAATACAGTCACTTGGAAGTGCTGAAAAATCCCAGCGGGTGGGAACAGGAGATGCCCCATCCTCAGGAAGGAAAAAAGAGCCCAAAGGGATGAGAGTAACAATCCAGCAGGGCCTGCAAGTCAACACCATTCCTGGACTGATCCAGGAACTCTGGCAGGTTTAGGAGTGCTGGGATTTTGCCCTGGATTTGCAGCCTCCAGGGGGGCTGTTGTCAGGGTTTGGGAGGTGTGCTGGGGTGATGCTGCTGGTGCCAATAGCCCAGGAGAGGGGAAGTGAAAACTGCTGAGGCTGGGGAAGGAAACAGATTTGTATTAATTAGAAGCAAATGCTGTTTGTTGGGCAATGGGCTCCAAAGCAGATGTTTGTCCAAATAGCCAAGAGCTGGGTCATCTCCAAGCAAAAGTGATAAATAATAGGAACGATGTTTCTTGTTGTTCTGTGTTTGCTCGGGTCAAACCCATGTGTTGCTCAGGGCTGGAAACACCAGGGAGTGACACCCCCTGTGTCCTGTGTGACACCACTGCTGTGTCCCTGCCCCCCAGAGCCAGGGCAGGCAGAGCAGCACGAGCTGCTGGGTCACAGCAGGGCTGTTCCTGGTGGCCTTGCTCCACCTGTGACCAAATCCCTTCCTTTTCATCCCCATGAACAGCACCAGCACCTCTGTGAGGCCCCAGCCTGCAGCAGAGCCAGCACAGCAGGGGACAGGCACTTCCTCCAGGACACTTCCAACGGGGATGAGGGAAGAGCTGAGCATCCTTCCGTGGCCCAAACTTCCTGAACAGATTCAGTTTTTCCAGGTAAGGTTCGCGGTTTTAATTAATGTTGACGCCTAAATTTGGGGATGCCTAATTTGTATAATGCCTTTTAATAAGTCAGCCACGGTCTTCAGATCAGGTAAGTCTTTGCTGTTCACTCTGGCCATGGAACATAAATACACAGAATCAGCAATTTTCAGGGAGAGGTACCTGTTTGTTCCCGAGGTGAAGGTGACCTGCTGATTTCCTCTCGTGCCTCCGTGTGTAACATCTGCCCCCAGACACCCTCTGACCGTGTTCTGGTGTTTGTTCAGGATGTGGCACAGGTGTAGAAACACCTGTGGGTTCGGGTGCCAGCACATAAATCAGCACAGCTAAACAAAGATATGGATTTACATTCCTCGTGATCTCGAGTTTAGAAATGGGTCAGGACGAGACAGCTCCCCGAGAATGTTGTCCTTGGTTTGCGCTCAAATTGACTGATAAGTAGTTTAAGTAAACATTTTTTAAAAAGTGGGTGTATTGTTCACCTTGGGATGTATCCACGTGACCATCCTCCTGTGTGTGTGGATACTTAGGGAAGTGTTTTGTATCTCGAAGATGTGTGTGCTGGGACAAAAAGCCTGTATTTAAAATTAATTTGTGTAAATACACATGTGCACGGAAAGCCACCCTGTTACAGACACACATGGAGTCACATACATATGTGCATATATAATCACGTTTGTGTACACAAACAAATTATGTACAGAAAATTAAGCATATGCCCGTCTCATCCCCCCAGTGAGGCATCCCCCTCCAAGGAACATCAAACCTGTTTGTGTCAACACACAGACCCCTCAGCCCAGGAGATATTGATACAGACACACCAGGAGAAACAGAGGCCTCAGTACCTGGGAGGGTGATTACTTATTTATGCCTCATCCCTACACCTCTGTGATGCTCCCTCCTGCTGTAATCTCTGTCCCTCCCAGGCAGAACTCCCCAGCCAGAATCCTCTGATCTTTGCCCTCTTTTCCTTCAAATTAAATTTCAACTTTTTTTAAATCTCTGGTGAGTGACAAGCCAGTGCCAGAACTGTCTTTTAATACACAAAAGCATAAATAATGCCATCCATCAGAGCTGTCACTCAGCAAGATGGATTGCTACTTGTCCAGACACCGGAATGACACAGAAGTGAAAGTTAGAAACTGTCTCTTTTCTTTACTTGCTTTCTTTTTCTTCTTCTCTCTTCCCCCCCCCCCCCTTTTTTTTTTTTATTTGCCGGACTGCTTGATTCTGATTAATGGTGCTGTCAGGGAGGGATTCCGCTCGCCCGGATAATGAGTCAGGAATGTATTCCCTGTCACAAACACAGCAGATGTCAGGGGCAGAAGGGCCCGGGAATGCCAGAAACAATATACAGTTTCTTCCTAGTCCCCTGACAGGCCAATATGCTGCACAAGGTCTAATTTATGTAGACAAAATGCAGGCAAGGGGCTGTGGCAGCAGAGGAGCTGTGGGGAAGTGTGGAGCACAATGCAGGGGGAGAGCAGAGGGAGGTAATGAGGGCGAGCAGTGGGACTCAATAGCACTGCATCAAACGGCCTTAACAAGAATGGCCCAGGACCACTTTGACTCCATTAAAGTGCACTTTACATCATTATGGAGAGAAATCAAACAGGGCAGAGGGCTTCTGTTTCTTTTAATGGCTCGATTAGGTTATTCACTCATGGGCTGTCATAGAGGAGCAGGGGCTGCCAGCAGAGGGGACAGTGGGGCTGGGTCCCCTCCCAGAGCAGGGATCCTGCACGTCCCCCCCCCGTGTGCACACGTTCACAGGGGGTTTGCCAGGCCTGCTGAAAGGATTTCAGAGTGTTCTGTCTTGAGATGACTTCACATTTTGGGGTTGGAAGTGCTGGAAAGGGGCCACGTCCTGCTGAAAGCCCCTGGGCTACCTGGGGTCCTGGCTTGGCAGCCAAGGGGAGCCCACACTGGCTCCAGAGGGTGCTGACCTTCCCTAGGCTGGGGAGGAGCTCCCAGCTTCAAACTGCTGATATCATGGAATGTCCTGGGGAAATAAATCAGCGTTTTGAAGTGCGTGCAATGCTCTGCTCTGCTCTGCTCTGCTCTGCTCTGCTCTGCTCTGCTCTGCTGCACTCGCTGCTCAGCACTCCGGGGCAGTTGGGATGCCAGTGCTGCTTCAGCATTTGGAGTAATGAGGTCCTGGCCCAGGAGGACTCACACTCAGGGCCATGGGAAGGTGTGTTCCAGGCCCTGAAGGTGCTGCCAGGCCGTCTGTACGTGTCACAGAGCAGTGAAAATATTAACTACAACAGAGACGTGACTTAGGGAAAGGAAAGGAAAGAAAAGGGCTTCATTAGAGTGTTCTGATGGCTGTCAGAGTTTCTGTAGTGACATCAGAGTCACGCAGCAAACTCCAGAGCACTTCAGGGAAACACCCCTTTTGTGAAGCTGTCACATTATCTGTCCAGCATCTGCTCAATGAAATCGTGTCATGCTGCAAAATTCTGAGAGGGGAAAAAGCCTTTGAAACTGGTTGACTCAGAGGCAGCTTTTTAAGGCCGTGGCTGCAGAACTTTTTACTGTGATCAGTGTTTTCGGCCCTAAAAAGCCTTAAGGTAGATATAAAGTCTCACCATGGAGCATTAAATCTTAGTCCTAATACAGCCATTTCACTCTGTCTTTGACCAGGGTAAAAATAATGGGTAAAAATAACCCCACACCAGGCATTTTGGTGCATTCACATCAGTTTCTGCTGGTTTCAGCACACTTTAAATCAGGCCACGTGTCCTGTGGTGCTGCATTTGTCCATGAACTCTTCCACAAGAGCCCGCTCCAGCTTTTATCTCCTTGTCTCTTTAACTTAATCTGATCCCTGACCCATGAATGGTCCCAGTAACTCCTTCCTGAGGAGCAGGAGCTCAGCTCTGAGACGATGTTGGCACTGAAAGGTGAAGGACCTTGAGGTCATGGGGTCTGAGGGGGTGGAGGGAGAGCACAGGTACCCACAGAGGTAAAAATCCAGAATGACAGAGAGATGAGAACAAAGATAAGGTTCTGCTACCCAGAGTCACCAGAGCAGGCAGGAGCTGCTCTGAAAGGGAAAGCACGGGCAGGATGCTGGGGCTGACAGATCTCGTGCCCAAACTGAACAGCATTAAATGGCTGGTCCTGAGTTTTCCCCTGACCCTGCTGTAAAATCCTGTGCAGTGTCACAAAGCCACGTGCACTCAGCAGGAACCTCCTGTCTGTGACATCTGGGCAGCTTGTTTGAGAGTGACACTGCCCAGTGAAGTGTATTTGCACTGGTCAGGGGGCTGTCCTGGCAGGATCAGCTTTGCCAGACCCTTCTAAACTGATAAGGCTGTGCTTTTTTTACCCTCCCCCCAAAGCTCAACAAAGCTGGTTTTTATTTAAAATAACTCTGTGCCTGCTCAGAATGCCCCTAATCAGAACCAGCATCTAACAGCCTGAAAATAAAGGAAATAAAATTAAAGGCTGCAATTGCTTTGGTTTTACAAGCCCGAGGCCTGGTGAGCTTTGCTCCAGCAGAGGGGGGTGAGGGGCTTGGGTTTGTTGGTTTTGCTGGTAGTACCCTGATCAAAGCAGCTTATTGTTAAGTGAGCACAAAAGTGGATTTAGAAAGTTAACACATTAAAGTAGGTGTGATTGACATCAGAGGCAGTGCTGGAAGGGACTGCAGGGAACAGGGGCGAGATGAGGCAGGTCTGGGGGGCTGCCAGGAGTGGGACAGGGCACAGAGGTGAGGGAAGGGCTGCTGGGATGCTGCAGGGCAGGGATGGAGCAGGGCTGGAAGGCAGGAGAACGCTCAGCAGCAGAACAAAAGTAACTTTACCTAATGAGGCTGGTGCAGAAGTGCATCCCCAGCAACAGGAACGACCCCTCCACTGCCATTTGTCTCTGTACCCTTTGGTGATCCCCTTTAAGTGGAACAATGTGAAGCCTCACCCTCTCCTGCTCTCTTTGTAACCCAAAGGCAGAGCAGGGTCTGTGATGCTGCAGGGCTGAGCTCTGGGCTGGGTGTAGTGGAAATCCTCTGGAAGCTGCTGTGACACAGACATCAATAACAACCCCAGGAGCACTCCTGGGGCAGAGCTGTGGGCTGTGTGAGCAGAGAGCCACGAGCACTGTTTAACAGCCCGGCCTCGAGGTGTTGTGGCACTACCTGTGCTGGGGGGTGGGAGCACACACAGGGTGGGAGAGGGGGAGCTAAGGCTGTTACAGCATTTATCTGTCTGTGCCTCGGGTTGTGATGAAGCTGCTCTTGCGTGGGCCAGAGCGTGCAGGGATGTGGTGAAAGGGAGGGAAGGCTGTGCCTGTGGCAGCAGCTCTGGTGCAAAGTGACTCCATTGGGCTGAGGGCGATGGAAGGGGAGTCGTGACCTGGCTGGTGGTGGAGCAGGAGGGGCTGCAAGGCTCTGGGAGGTCACCCTGGATGTGTGTCACCAGCTGAGGTCTCACAGCCCCCCGAGTCAGCTGCACCACACCAGGTACCTGCTGTACCCGGACGGGGAGCCGGAGCAGCTGCTGGGAATGCTGATGGAAGCAGGGAAGGTGGACTTTCCAGGCCACCCTCTCCCTGTCAGCTTTCGTGGGCAGCAGCTGAGCATGGAGTTATTTAAGCTGTCACCAGCTGGGCTTTGCAAAAGTTGTAGCCCAGGAGATTTATGGCTGTGGGAGCCAGGGCAGCATTCTGTGTAACCTGAGTCCTTGTAGGACCAGGGCAAAGCCTGGTCAGTGCTCAGGCTTCTCCCTGCTCTCCTGTCCCTGCAGCCTCACGAGAGGGGATTGGATTTCAAACGTGCTCTGTGTGTCGTCCTTGGAAGACAAAACACAAATAAGTGACAGCCCAGGACCAGGCGTCTGTCCCAGGGCACGGGGGAGGAAGAGAGCTCGTGGGATCAAAGGTGCCCCCTTGGCTGAGGCACAGCCCTGGGGAGGGAGGCTGGGAAGACCAATTTTCACAGGTCTCAGCACCAGGAAATAGGCATTTCATCATGAGTTGAGTCGTGGAGAGGA